AAAATTAATAATAATATTGCATAATTTAATAATGGGAAAAGTCCTCTAAACAATTTATAAATCCACAACGAAAATAAAAACTAGATTTTCCTAAAATGAATATTATTGATATTTTAATTCATCAACAACTCGACATAGGCTACAAGTACTAATTTGTAACGCACAATAGTAAAATATCAACAATTCATTCCATAATTGTAAGCGTATTTGTTTTTGGCCAAATTGTGACCTTCCTTCGGGCCGATCACAATTCGCATAAACAACAATACTAAAATCTCACAATCTATTCTTTAATTAATGTTAATTGTTTCCGAATGAAAATAAAATACTTTAAGTTATTTTCAACCACTAACAATAATATTTTCATGCATAAAAATATTCATAGAATTTAAAAGTCCTACCTTGATAAATTGTTGCTTTATTACCATAATAATCAACCTTTAATTAGTATAATATAAAATAGAAATTAAATAATCCCCTATATATGCCCAGGATGTTTGTAACAAATTATAAATATATGAATTAGAAATAATGAAAGAAAATAAAGAAAAAAAGACTTTTAACTCTTTCTTTGGAGGCCCAATGCAATATCACCCAAGTGGTGATAGGGGTGCCCTAGCACCGTTTTTCCTTTAAGCGGCACTCCAGCCGCAATTTCCTTTTCTTATTTTTTTTCCTTCTATTTCCTTCTTTTAATTATTTATATTATTTATTTATTATTTATTTTTTTTTAATAAAAAAATATCCACATCCTAATTGATTTGTTAATAAAGAAAACAATAAACTTTATCAAATCAATCAACTATAAATCTGAACAATTTTCAAACTAGATCGTGCAAAATTGTTCAATAATTCATCAATCCAAATAATTCAATTAGCATGTTGTTTAAACAAATAGGTTATTAAAAGAACAACATGCCTAAAAGTAATTCACCAAGATCCAATAATCATTCATGCAAAACTTGCTCTGATACCACTTGTTGGAAAATTTAAAACAAATCTTAATTCATGATAATAAAAGCCATAAAATTCCAGAACAATCAAGACGAATAATCTAAGCAAGGAAGAAAACCAAAATCTATAAATAGATTAGAATTACCTGAAACCATTAGATAGATTGACCATAATCTGCAAGTTGTGGTTTTTGGTTCCTCAACTATGCAATCCAGACCAAATATGGCAAATAACTCTGTGTTTGATGGGGAATAGTAGGCTCAAGAACAAAGTGTATTGGGGACCATAACCATATAGGTTAATCCTAGGTTTCCCATAATCCCCTGAGATTAATGGGCTGGTCTCTACTCAACAAGCCACACCACTGAATGGGAAGTCATGAGCCCATAATTAAAATTACTCATATACCCATTAAATAGCCAAAATATAATTGCTGTTTAATTTGTTACCCACATATGAATTAATTATTAATTCCAACAGAATGATCCATGTAAATATGATATGTTGTTATGACAACTCTCCATAATAGATTTATTATGCAATAAAAAAAACACCTTGGAAAGATAAGAACATGCATAAAAAAGCCCTAAACAACATGGTTAGTAGCATTCAAAGCATCCCTAAGTTAATGTTGTGATTTATACGAACTATTCCTAACTTTGAATGTTTTGTTGCAGTATTCTTGATGTTGGAGCATTGAGACCAAAAGCAGAAAATGGCAAAGAGCTTAAAGTGACAGATTTTTACACAATGTTAACTGTTGTAAAAACGGGGGAAACACCTGTAATTTGGGCTAGGCCCCACTTTATCCATTGTGTTGCACTAAAATCAAGGATAAGTATAAAAATTAACATTTAAGGTTGCCTCTAATTATCCATCCCATTCCATTCCATCTTTTCATTCTACAAAGGTCCCAAAGAGCATGAAAAGTGACAAAAGGGAGAGAAATGAGCCATAAGGATTCTGAAGAGCACCTGAAGAGGAAGAAGTCTAGAGCAGGAGTTATTGTTTTCTTCTCTTCTTTCTTCTTTTGCATTCCCAAGTAAATGAGCTTGGTAGTTCTTCTTTTCCTTTTTTCTTCTATGGCATTGAGTAGCTAAACCCAAAAAAGGGGATGCTACGAACTTGCTTTGAGTTGTGAACTTTGTTTTCAGTTTATAATGATTTTGCTGAGTTGAAGTTTGTTTCTATGATGTTAATTTCAGTGTGTTTGATCACCATATTGAATGAACAATTTATTAACTTTTGGGAAATTGCAATAAATAGTGTTCGGCTTCAACTTCTGCTAGATCTATATTCGAGTATAGAGTGTGGGTACTTAGGAATAAGACTCACCTAACATGGCTAAAAACTGAACTAAAACGTTGTTCTGAAATAAAATCTGAATAACATGAAATATGGGCAATCTGGGAAGATGTTGCGTCCGTTTGACTAGTGTTATTAACATCATTGTTATTGGAGCATCATTCAGTTGCATCAAAGTAAAACACACAACCTCCCCTTTTCCCCTGATACCATTGTTTCATTCTACCCTGCTTTTTGCGATTTGCATCCTTTATTTGACCTTATGTTGTTTCTAGTTGTTTCATTTTCAAAGTTTTATGCATATTTACTTTTATAGCAACCATTAATAGCCCTCAAATTATCATTTATTGTTTTTCTATTGTTTGAGTAATTTGTGAAGTGTTTAGTTATCAATCCTTGTGGGTTCGATCTTTTATTACTTACTACGCAATTTGTGTACACTTGCACAATGGTTTTAAATCATTAACATGCTGCAAAAAGGGTTTTGAGATATTTGTAAGGTACCCAGGAGTATGGGCTCAATATGTAAGGGAGAAAGATTTCAAACCCGTTACTAATAGTGATTTGGCAGGTTTCCTTGATGATTGAAAGAGCACTTTATGAAATGTGTTTTGTTTGGATTCTAATGCAATATCTTGGAGTTCGAAAAAGCAACAAAATGTAGGTTTGTATTTCGCAAAAGCATAATATACAGCTGCAACTGAAGTCGTTTAGCTAAGGAGAATTCTCAAAGGTATATTCAAATGGATCAGGTGGTGTCAACAAAAATCTTTTACGATAATATGTACTCAGCAACTGCAATGACCAAGAATCGTGTCTTTCATGCTTGGTCCAAGCACATTAAGCTACGTCATCATTATATTAGAGATTTGATAAATAAAGAAGAAATCTTTTTGGATAGTTCATCAACACCAATGATAAACTAGGAGATATGTTTACCAAAGCCGTTACGTCAAAGAAGTTCAAGAAGCTTTTGAAAATTATAAATTAAGAAGATTTGTAATTTTCAAGATAAGTCTTTAATGTAAGTTAAATTTTCAATATGCCCTTTTTAAGTTCTTCCAAGTGACTTATTCGAATACCAAAGGTTTATGTAAATTCCTTCTACTATTACCTACGACATTAAATATGATCCTACTAGAGTTATTCCTAACCCCTATAAATAGAGGTATTCTCCATCTTTGTAAGTAACTCAAGCAATCAAGCTCCAATTGAACGAAGCGTCAAAGCCGTCAATAGAAGAAGTTTCTCTTCATTTTAAAGTCTCCTCTACTTTCTTTCATATGACCTCATGCAAAATGAAATGATACAATTAAAAAAAAAAGTTTTAATGCAAACACTCAATTGGAGTTCAATCAAAAAATAGTGTACTAGCAAATTGTATCATACTTTGTTCGAATATGTATATGAATGTTTTGATTATATAACTTTGTTATATAATTTCTTATTTTCGTGATATTGATGAACAGTAAAATATTGTTTCTTTTCGTGACGTTTTCTAAATGTCATTAAATTTGTTTTTCGTGATGTTTTTTTTTTCAACATAGTAAAATTCGTGTTCCGTGATGTTTTTTAACTATCACACAATCTATTTTTCGTGACTTCTTTTAACTGTTAAGAAATCCATTTTCAGAGATGTGTTTTAACGTCACGAAATCCGTCTTTCGTGACTTTTCTAAATGTCACATAAAACCAAGCCAAATTTATATTAGTGGGAATAATTTTTTAAGCATTATTTTTGTAGTTAGTTTGAAAGTTATAAATATTTTTAAAATAAGTTTTAAAATTAGTAATATTTTAAAAAAAAATTACATAAATCGAGCTACTACTCAAAAATTATAATAATAATAAATAACAACTGTAACCCAAATTAAAAATATTTGTAAACATGAAACAATTTTTGAAAAAATTCATCAACATATCTACTCAATAATACTGCCAAATGTTCGCCCTAGAAAATATCGTATTTGTAAAATTTTATTTCTGCACTACATTTACAAAATATGACAAAATTATTTGCCAGCCATCACAATTTATATTATTTTTTTCACCGAGTATTATCATAATCCCATATCAGTTTTTTTTTAAAAGAAACATAGCAGACAAATTACAAAACCACAGGAACATGCAATAGATCTTAAAAAAGGAAACAATCATCTCAAAGTAGAAATATGGAGTAATAGATAAACTCTAGAAAATGTAATAGATCTTAGTCACACTTAGATTGATAATACAAATAAAGAGTTATATATATGGGATTTAATTAATTTAGTATTTAAGTTAAGTTGTCAAATATATATAAGTTACCTTATTCAAAATTCAAACAACAAAATCCAATTTGTTATATAACTTGGACTATTATATTTTCTCATCTAATATCTTTTTATACAACCAACATCTCTCATTATCATATATATTCCAGCAAAAAAGTAATAATTTCCCAATTAGTTTCTACTATGGAAAGCCAACTAAATCAGGAAATTACAGAACTCATACGCCTCATATAGGAAACAAGTAATCAATTTCTGGTCACTACTAACATGTAATTATAATTTTTTAAATGTGTTAAAAGGAATAGAATTTTATAATTTTTTTATCTCTTGTGATTTTGCTGTGTGTATATATATGTTCTTACAAAACATGTTTTTCCTCGGAAATGAAAATGGAACATTATTCCAAATGGAGATTGATTTGGATAATACCAACGTTGTTGTTGTTTGTTTGTGTGGATGTTTCAAAAGCATTGGATTGTCAGCTGAATTTTAGGAATCCATATAGAGTTGCATACAGTATTTATGTTAGCAAAAAGGGGAGAGCAAACTTCAGAACAGTCCAAAGTGCCATTGATTCAATCCCTTTTAATAGTACCCAATGGATTAGGGTTCAAATTGGTCCTGGCATATATTGGTAAAAACTATTCACTTATCCTTCTATGTTTTTCTTTCTTTTTTTTCTTTTTGTTTTTTTTTTTTCTTACTTCTCGAAATTGATGTTGAGTGGCTTACACTGTGAAGCCCTACAACCGAGACTTATTATATGGGCTAAGCTTAAATCTATAACCTCATGGTGGGTGATACCACAAGTCCAAAGTCCTTGCCACTACGTATCGCTCCAAAATATTTACCCTTCTAGGTTTTGTAGTTAATTATTCCATTAATATGAGTTTTGTTTTTTTTTCTTTTTGGGTTTATTTTTAATGTTGTAATTTTTTTTTAGTTCAACAAACCTCCGGGATGAGACATTTTAGTTGAGGGTACATGTTTCAATTAGTTGAGCTAGACTTATATATTGAATTGTTGATCATTTTAGTGTTGATACTTAATTTAGTGAGTTTATTTTAAATTTCAACTTTCCGTTTTAGCAGGTTGAACTCTAATTTTTTAGAATAAGTAATTAAATTAATATTTAAATCTCATTTCGATTTCTATATATATATATATAATAAAGAACACGTGGAATTGTTTTCGACTATCAATTATTTAACAAATGATATGAATATATATGACTTCATAAATGTGTATTAATTGCTTATTAATATGAGTAGTACTATTTGAAGCTAACATGAACATAATTCAGTAGTTAAGACACTTTTCTCCTTCCCTAAAAGTTAGAAGTTCAATCTCGCAGCAACATATTTATTGTACTAAAAAGAAGTATATCGAAGCCACATTCACTAGCTAAGATGGATACCGGGGTGGGTAAATAAATATTGATAAAGATCTAGCCTTAAGAAGCTATTTTTTATTTAAGTAGAAACTTTTCCCCCTTGTTTTTTATAATAGAATAGGTAATTTATTTTAACATATAGATGGATTGTTTGAATTTTGGAAACAGGGAAAAGGTGGTAATTCCCGCAGGAAAAACATGCATATTTCTAGATGGGGCTGACAATAGATTCACTGAAATTCAATGGAATGACCATCAAGCCACAGCTACTAGTGCCACCTTCACTTCCTTTGCAGAAAATCTTCTAGTCAAAGGCATCACATTCAAGGTACTATCATTAATTACTTCTAAACTTTCGTGTTTCGTTTCGTGTTTTAGGGCATATTTAGGAGTGATTTTCGTATAGTCAAAATCACTCACTTTGATCATATTTGACAAATTAAAATTTTGATTTTAGGAAAGTTTAAAATCATTTTAAATTAATTTTTAAGGTATCATTTGGAGAGTATTTTGAAAAATCAATTACTCTTAAGTCTTTTTTTTTTCAAAATCACTCATTATACCATCACTCTCAAACACACAAACTTTACATAAAAATATATTTTAATTCTTTCGATCCAAAACAGAGCTCAAAGAAATAAGCCACTTTATTACCTATCAGTTGTTTATTAGTGCAAATTTATATACAATTGCATGGACTTTACTATAGATTGTGTCAATAAAGTCTCTAAACTTTAAAAATAACTAAATATCGTATCAAAAACTAAACTTGTATTTGAACCACATATGAACCGAAACACATATGTCAATCGAAAGTTTATGGACCAAAATAAGATTTAAAACTTACGGAAAGTTATTGCGAATGGAAATGGGCAGAATACTTATAATACACCAGGAAGTGTGAGGAGACGAGAAGATATAGAACCAGCACTTGCAGTTCTTATAGAAGGAGACAAAGCAAGCTTCTATGAGTGTAGATTTATTGGACTGCAGGATACTCTGTGGGATGGAACTGGCCGTCATCATTTCGTCAATTGCTACATTGAAGGTGTAATCGATATCATTTCTGGTTCTGGCCAATCCATCTACGAGGTTAACTTTCAAATAAGTTCTAAATGTTATATTATTCGACTTATATTCAAAAGTTGGTTCTTTTTTTCGAGTTTAGATTAGGGGTTTCAGAAAACCAACTGTTTGAAATATATATGATAATTTATTGTTCCTCATTTTTTAAGAAATATAAAGGTCGGTTTGGTAATTTTTTTAGTTTTAATAAAGAAAAATGAATTGTATAGCCTAACATCCATGAATTGATAAAACAATTTGTTTATTTATGTTTTAGAATCAATTGAAATTAGAAACTCGAAATAAGAAACTTGTTGCTTGTTTCTAAAATTTATATACAATTTTGGGAATGTTCCCAAAAAAAATAAGAAACAAAAAACATACTTATTGCAAAATGGTTAGATTTCTTAAGAAAATTGGAAACAATAAATAAGAAACGAAAACGTTACCTGGACCTAAAATTTCTTGTTTCTCATTTTCTGAAAAAGTTTCCAAAATTGTGTAAAAATTTAATTTTAAAAAAAAAGAAACAAAAACAAAAACAAAATTAAATTTATTGTTTCTTCAACCAGTTTCCAATTTTTTCTAAAATATAAAGAAAAATATTATTTTATCGTTCTAATCAATTTATAAATGAATAATAAATATTAAAAATAAAAAGTAAATATAACATAAAAGTTTTGAATATTTAATTTAAAAAAATATTTTTATATAAAATTTAAAAGTTAATATTTAATTTAAAAAAATATTTTTATATAAAATTTAAAAAACTTTTTAATAGGAACTTTCAAGAACAATAAACAAGAAATAGTTACCAAAAACTTATATGTTTCGATTAAAATAAAAATAAAAGAATAAGAAACAAGTAATAGTTACCCAACACAAATTTGTTTTTCTCTATTACATCATAAGAAACCAAAAAAATGAGAAACTACTGAACGGACATCTAGGTTGATTTTTATATTTTCCTTAGAGATTGGTGTTGATTTGAAGTTTTGATTTTGTATGTGTGTTTGTTTTTATGGCAGAAATGTAAGATAAATGTACCAATCGATCAATATTCTCCAATATTGAGTTACGGATACATAACAGCACAAGGAAAAGAGAATCCAAATGAAGGCAGTGGCTTTGTTTTCAATGCATGCTCAGTTGTTGGAAATGGGAGAGTCTATCTTGGAAGGGCTTATAGGCCTTTCTCCACTGTCATTTTCCATAATTCTTTTCTAGCAGGTTTCATTGACCCTGCTGGTTGGGATCCTTGGGAACAAGTTGGCCATGAGTAAGTTTACGTCGAGCATTATGTTTATTTAGTCATCGAACTTGAAACTTTTCAATAATATCTCTTAACTTAAGACATTATGTTTCTATATATATATAGTCTCTATGGTTGTCTTTCACGCATGACAAACAATTAAGTGATATTCTTAAATTTAGAATGTGTAATCGAAGCTTTTTGAAACTCGCACTAAGTATAGAGATTAAATTTATAGTTTAACTTTTATGGTTTTTCTTTCTATCATGTTTGTTAATTCGAGTCTAAAACTTAGAAGTCAACTAACTTCATGAAATATTGTCCACAATCAATAGCTTGATTGGTTAGGAGGTTCAAGAAATATCCTTGAGATGTTGGGTTCAAGTCACATAGAACGCGATGATCTCTTACATATATACAGGTACAAGAACAATATGCATACCCCAGGTATAGGGGTAACAATGCCAAGAGGCCACCTACTCGAGTAATAAAAACTTTATGAAATTAGACTCCTCACTCATGCTTTAACCATTGGATAGTGATCAAGTATTTGTATTTTATTCTTCCAACAATAGTTTTGTCCAAGATCTCAAAATAACAACGTTATCAAATAAACTCTAAATTATTTTGTTCGTGTATGGTCTTGTAGGAGGGATTTGACATATGCAGAGGCGAATTGTATTGGACCAGGAGCAGACACTTCAAGACGAGTCCCTTGGCTTAAGAGACTCAGTGCTGCCGAGCTCAAATACTTCTCACATATTTCGTTTATTGATCAAGATGGTTGGACTTCAAGACTTCCAATATTTGCTTAATAACTGAGCTATGGTCCCATATTCCTTCATCAATGGACTTTAAGGCTTCTCTCTACTTTTTAATAATTGATGAAGAAGCCTAGACTTCAAGGTTTCTTCTACTTCCTCAATAAATAATAATAATGTGTGAAGTCATTTTAATAATATTCTATTTGTCAAGTGCTTCAAAATTTATGAATGTATATTTCTTTGTGATTATGATAAAAACAAGTTCATCAAGTGGCTACTGATCCTACGAGTATATATATCGATGTTTATAGTTGCTCCCAACAATTCAAATGACGAACCTCGAATAATCATAATTAAGATCCCAATTCTACCTCAACAAAATAGAATTTTGTAACAAAATCACACAATCTAATTAAGTTGGGAGGTGAAAGTTTGAGGGGAGATTCCAATTCTACATCTATATCAACATTAGTAGATATCGTAGTTCTATTAATGGTATATCAGTGGTGATATGAGTGGCATATCAAAGATATATCAAGTATATATCAGACAAAATATGAGGAAAATTGAGATTGGAAATGTGAGGAAAATTGAATTCAATATCTCACCAGACTGGTTCATTGGACTAATTAATGGGCATCCAAATATAGATGCTAATTTTGTTAAACAAATTTAATCTAATCGATGCTAATTTTGTTATTATTATATACCTTATTAGAAAGGAAATATATTTTTATTTTTATATTTTTATTTTTATAACTTTTCCAGAAATGTCTTTTTTTTATTTTTACAACTTTTGCACCAACATTTACAACATAATCAACAAACAAAACAAAAGTAAAATAAAAATAAAAAAGAGTCAAAAGAATAATCTAAATTACTCCCAAAGTCATAATTCGAATCATCCTTCTCGTGAATTTAGAAAAGAGAAACAATTGGAGTTTGAGACCGGAGGGGCGCGCCAGGCCCAAGCAGTAGTGCAAGGCATGGGTGACGCTCCAAGGCCCAGGTAGCAAGCTAGAAAAATAAATTCATTATCATGCTGGCAGATGGCCCACGTATCAGATATTAAACTGATAAGAACAGATACTACACTTGATCTTCACCAAAAGGCCGAGAAAGGTATGCTTTGGTCATCAATCTCACCGCCGTTTTATACTCAGCGTCCGCTCCCGCTTCTGGGACCTGGCCGATGTGGGACTAACTCATCTCAGCTTCCACTGTCCCTCCTCGTCCTTTGATGCAAATTTCAGTTCCAATTTATCTGATTTTTTGTGTTACAATCAAGATATAAATTTTGATTTAATTATCGTTTAAAAATAAATAGTTTCTTCTGATTTTTAATTCCAAAGATTATGATACTAAAAGTAATGAAGTCGGATTGTTTAAACAAGACTTCCAGAGGAAATATGCTGTCGGAGGGATGACACCATGGTTACCGTTCCATCTGCTTGTTTCGAAGTTTCAAATTGCTGAAATTGAGAAATGGGCAACGAAGTTTTTGATCAACTAACCTCCAAAGATGTAATCTCCTTTGTTTATGCAAGGATATGCACAACAATATATTTCAGATTGCAGCTCGAACTCGGCCTCCGGACCGATCTGAACACTTGGGCGGACCTGCATAAAAAGGTGAGCACTCCGACGATCAAGTCAGTATAGGTCGGATTCCCAGTTTAATTCGAGGCCAGAAATCATCGTACCTGATCGTGGAGTGAAGTCCTCTACTTATGAGTGGTAGTCCCGCTAATCTCGCAACGGTTACACCCGGTAATCTCGGGATCGTCGGTTACACCCGGTAACCTCGGGACCGACGATTATGCCCNCTCTACTTATGGGTGGTAGTCCCGCTAATCTCGCAACGGTTACACCCGGTAATCTCGGGATCGTCGGTTACACCCGGTAACCTCGGGACCGACGATTATGCCCGATAATCACGCCGCTGACAGTAGTTCGCATCGGCCCCCACCGAGCTTTCCGGTAGGTCGGACCTCGGCCAAGTTCACCTCGGCCCTCATACTTAGCATCTGTCAACGCTAGTAGTGGTGATCTCGGCCGTCCGAGCTGGGCATGACTCATGAGTCATCTTGGAGCACCAATAGGGGTCCTCCACGTGTCCAGGGTATTCTCTTCCCCAAACATCCTTCAACGCCATGATCATGGGCCCTTACAGTTAACGTCAAAGGCGACGAGGCATTCAAGCTTGTTGCCATAATGCAAGACTTCGCCACAAGATCGATTGCTAGAACATTTATCGGATAACATTTTTAAATTCAATATTATATTTTAACATAGTAAAAGTTTTAAAAAAAAAACTATTTATTGTAAAAAGGAAATCACGAAAGAAAAAACTTCTATAAATTAATAGAATATTAATGTAACTTGAAGTTCAATGGTGAAATAATGCTTTATAATTCTAGAAATTGTGAAAGTTGTAACAGTTTTGAAATCTCTTATTAAAGCTCTATAATTAAAGATAAAATATTTAAAAGTGAGATAGAATAACTTTTCCATTAAAACTTAGTATCATACATTAATAAACTTAAGGATACATTTAAATTTTTATTTATTCAAAGTTAATTTTTTTAAAATTTTATATTTTACTTAATAACAATTTATTTATTTTCTAATCTAATTGCATGATCAACTTATCAAATCTTTTAGAAAATAAATACTCATAATATTTCACATTTAAAAGTTAAAAGGATACTTATTTAAATCTATATTATATTCATTTGGGTATTTAATTAATAATTATACTACATTGCTATAATGAAAAAGTTATTTTTAGCCTACTTTTAATTTATTATATAAATATATTAATTTTAATTAGTTATAATTAATTTATAATTAATGAGAGGAATTTCTTCAGAAATTAAATTAAATATATTATTAACTAATTATTAATAATATTTTTAATTAGATTTCTCAAAAAAAAAAATAATAATATTTTTAATTAGCTTAAAAGAATTTTGTTTATACTTGAATTTTGTTTATTTTTGACTCATTTAGTACTCAAGAAGATAACATTTTTTGTCATACCTCTAGTTCTCTCTCTCGACATGTCTCAATGACTTTTTAAAAACAAAAAACCAGAAACAATTATAGAGAAAATGTTCGTTTTCTATCTTTTTAAAGTTATCGTGTACAGTTCCAAAATGGTTACCATGTAGAGCCTTGTTTTCAAAAACGTTATAGAGAACAAATTATAGAAACAAGAAAATTGTTAGTCAATAAGAATATATTTTTGAGGCAAAAGATATATGCTCCATGAATATATGTGTTAAATTTAAGGTTAAAAATGTCAATGTCGATGAAAATGTCGAGGTCCTGATTTTACGAACATGTCGATGTTGATGGATATTTGGGAAAAAATTAAGGAAATTATGAAAATTAATAAAAATTATTTTAATTACTAAATAAAATTTTAATGGTAGCTTAATTAAGTTATACTTGATCACTTTTTATCCATCAAATGTAAAAATATGAGTAACTTATGAAAATATCAAAATGTTGAAACAAGATAATAAAGATTCATGAAAATAATTTGAATTAGTAAATTGAAGTTTAACGTTACTTAATTTTATGTTTTATTAATAATTTATAACCAAATCTAATATTAATTACATAATTGAACAAGATATGAAATATTGATACATATGATTAAATTTAGTTATTAGAAATTGAAGGATAGGTTTGAAAATTTATAATTAGTTTTATAAAAAAGAAATAGGCCTAAGATTAAAAAAATCAACATAGTAAAAATAAATGGATTTATAGTAAAATTTAAATAAATTTAAATAATAATAATAATAATATTATTATTATTATTATATGAAAT